TCTTTCTTTCTTTCTTTCTTTCTTTCTTTCTTTCTTTCTGCTAAGTCAGCCTTTTCTTAATGGCTAAAATAGCCACCTGCTGATTAGAAAGTAGAAAAGGAGAATTCCCAGGATTGCTTGCCCTTGCTGAGACACTGACAAATGGCTGGACACTACCAAGTGAAAGAAAACTCACATCAGAAACCTGTAGTTCAGCTCTTATTTAGAGGAGATGGGTGCTGGTCACTATTTTTTAATCTTTCCCTTTTGGGGGGGCTTTTGGCTGATGTAGTTCTAACACACCTATCACCACAGTAATAATAAACCACCACCGTGCACTATTTCACAGGGAAAAGAAGAATACAGGAACATACACGTACTACCACAATGAGAATCCTGCTGGTCAACTCACAGCCTCTCCAACATGAGAAATAAAAGAGGGAGAAAAGAAGAGCTCAAGGTGCTGACAGGCAAAAGGAAAAAAGAAAAGACAGATCCAGTTACAAAGAACAGGGAAAGAAAATTATGGTACACTCCAGCTTTCTGAAACAGCTGCAGGAACTCAGCTCAGCCTTCTTCCTCCTCCTCCTCCTTCCCCCCCAGTGCTTCTTCCCGAGGCCGCAGCCCCGCCGCTCACATCTCATTGGAGTAGGTGTAGTTGGGGGTGGCCGAGTACTGCGTCTCATGCTGCATCATGGCCCCCTGTGCAGCCCCCATGGCTGCGTTCTGAGCTGCCTGCTGTACGTGTGGGTTCTTCCAGGCTCCCGTGGTCCACTCCTCCTGCGCTTTGCTGAAGCTCCCACCACTCCCCCGGTAGAACTTGTGCACCTGGAGCGGAGAGAGGGGTGAGATGAGGAAAAAACCCACCCGACGACCCCCCTCCCTGCCTCTGTCCCAACACTGTACCATAGTGAGGGCGATGAAGGAGAAGACTGCCATTCCTGTGAACAGGATGGTGGGGATCAGCATCACCACAGCCGACCCCACATTGGTCCCAAAGAAGGAGATTGCTGCAATCCAGCCGCTGCAAGGAGACAGAAACCAGCGATCAGCATTCCTCCTGACTCTTGCCTCCAGTTTCCCCAAGGAGAGAAGCTACCCATGATGTTAGGACACCGAGGGGCGGCTTGCTCTCTTTGCTCTTCTCCACCCCAAAACCACCTCCCCATTGAGCTCATCTTCGTGCCCACCGCATGGTCCTCACCAGACACCCCAGCCAGGAATCCCCACGGCCTGGATGATGCTGATCACCAGCTGGGCCATGAAGGTGAAGAAGAAGGCCATGAAGCTGAAGGAGCTGTCTGTCCTGCAAGAGAGGGCTCTGTCAGTTCCTGCACCTCCATCCCTGCTGCTCTACCCCCATCCAGTGCCAAACAGCCTCATGGTGAGGATTAAAAAGTACAGCTAGAAGGCTGGGCAGGGAGAGCAGAAATCCCCAACTATTCAGACAGTGCCCCAAAGCGAAGCACTGCGTACAAGTTTTAAAAAACTGTGAAAGCCAAGCTCAGGTGTGACCACTTACTTGAAAGCTTTGTAAATAGGTCTAAACCAGCAGACATAGGAGCAGGGCGTAAAGAGAATGAGCCAGAGAATTGCCAGTCCCAAATTAACAGCTCCACCGCCTCCAATCAGCCATGCGAGGCAGCCAACGAGATTCACCGCCAAGGTGATGCTGTTCACTGCAAACATACACACACACACACACAGAGGGAGCGGAGTAGCGCACGCGAGGAGGGCGGCACGATCCCAAAACCCTGCAGCAGGTCTGACACCCCCGCTCCCCCCCGAGCTCCTCATCCTGTGCTGATAAAACGCTCCAGATGGAGCTGCACGGAAGTGTATCCCAGAAACTACTAAAGCAGCCATTGGGAATTTAATGTCCCAAAACAGCTTCTGCAGGGAAACACGGTTATATATATATATATTTTTTTTTCCTCTTTTGTGGAAAAGTGACAGGAGGCATGCGGAGGATGTTAGAGAGATCCGGGCAGCTGAAGGGGTTAGAGAAGAGCAGTGGCTCTCAGCATGGAGCATGGCACGCAGAAGCATGCAAAGAAGAACAGGCAAAACTCCAGGAGGGATCCAGCCCGTGTGACCAGCTTGGACATGGGGCATTTGGGAACCAACAGAGGGGCTGTGAAGAGTTCAGGTCCATGAGGAACGCCCCTTGATGTCAAAGATACTCAGAGAGCCTTTGCTGGTGGCAAATCCTCCACCAAAGCTGTTCCAGTGCCTGATTTAGCAGTTGGCAACCCTGCTCACAGCAAAGGGGTTGGAACCGAATGAACTTTAAGGTCCCTTCCAACCCAAATTCTATGATTCTGCAATTCTACGAAATCCGGGGCTTGCCGCAGCCCTACCCCATCCCCAGTGGGTTTGGGCACAAAGGTCTGGAGGGGGACAAGGCACACCACCCCTGTTTGACTCGTGCTGAGCACACGGCCAACCCCAACTCACGCATCCAGAGGTAGTAGAGCCGCTTGGCCATGGTGCGGTGCTGCGGTGGGATCTCAGCATCGAAGTCCTGGTAGAAACATGGCTTCAAGGGGATGAAGCGAGGCAGCGGAGGGAAATTGTTGGCTTTTTCTGCAACAAGAATTCCCGTTAATGAGGGGCGGTGAGCGGAAAACAACACAAGCCCCCCCCGCCCCTAGATTACCCGTACCTGCCATGCTGGCACGCTCTCTGCCTCCCCGCTCTGCAGAGATGAGGGAAAGCAGCCGGGAGCTGCGTCAGAGCTGGAGGGAAGGAAGAGGACACAGACGGAGGCGCTGAGGGGAGTGCGGCTGCACCCCAGCTGTCCCCGTTCCCCAAACCCCCCTCCCCCCCGGCCTCAGCACAAGGCCCGGCTTAGCGCGGACACCTGGCTCAATCCCGGCTCCCGCCCCGCTTAACGCCCTGCCGATTAGCACAGGCTCCAGCCGCGGGGTTCGGCCCACGCACAGCAGCGGGGCTCCTTCAGCTCCGTCCCCGCAGTGAAACGGCCTCACCGGGAGGCGAAAACCCACGGAAAGCGCGGGGACACCCAGGCGGCGCGTCCCCCATTGGGTTCCAGCGGCCTCCCGGGCCTTCCCCGCGCTGCACGACAGCCCCCACCCGCCCCGCGGCCGTCACGATCGGGTCCCCACGCACAGCACTGGCCCCACGCCTCGCTTCGCGGGTGGCGGCGGCCGCCCGGCGCCGCTCTTGCCGCAGCGGCCGCGCTCTCGCGAGACTGCGCCGTCTCCCGCCCGCCCCACCAACGGGGCCGCCTTCCAGATCTCGCGAGAGCGGTTGGAACTGTCCAGGGTCCTGATGCCGCCGGGCGGGGAGCGCATTGGGCACGGGGTCCTATAGGGGATGGAAGGCAGATCTCAGGGGCTGAGAGCACTACATAGGTCGTGGGAGATCCCCTATGGGGTACGGGGGTAGAAAGCTCCACGTGGGGCAGGAGAGACTCCCAGTGAAGGAGTTGGACATACTCCATATGGTCGAGGTGACCTTCTTTGGGGAATAGAGAAAGGGAGAACAGCCCATAGGGTGTAAGAAGCTCTATATGGGTCAAGGGAAGCTCTGTATGGGGCACGGTAAACTCCATATGGTTCGAGGCAGATCCCCTACGGGACAAGAGTTTGGCAGGGTCCACATAGGGCAAGGGAAGTCCTCTATGGAATATGGTAAGCTCTGTATTGGGCACAGGAGACCATCCATAGGAAAAGATATAGCAGGCTCCATACGGGTCTGGGGACAGTCTCGATGGGGTGCATGTATTGTAGACACTACACGTGGCAAGAGAGATCCTCCACGGGCAAGAGTTCAACAGCTACCTTATGGGAGAGAGCCTCCATAGGGGTTAAGTTCTGTATGCATTAAGCATTAACCTTATTTAGGTCATGACTACGGTGAAATCCATACGTAACAAGGGAGACCCTCCATGAAGTGTGTATATAACAATTAGCATATGAGAGAAGAGAAATCCTATATGCAGCAGAGAGGACTCCCTGTAGGGTAGGAGTCTGGCACTGTTCAGGGAAATGAGACTTTAGGGCAGGAATGTGATAAGAGCCATATTGTTCAGGGGTTCCTGGGGGTTCAGGGATTCCTGGCTGCCTGTACCGAGGACCCTGCAGGTCGCACCAGCAAGCTGAAATTTAGGGAACCCTGCATCCACTCCTATCATATCCTGCTGTGCTCCAGCTCATCTTCAAGGTTTTGGAGACAAAGGCAATGGCACCGGGTGGATAAGTGGCAACTAGATTAACATATCACCAAGACTCGGTATCCCACCAGCAGTTCCTGAGGACCTCTACAAAATGAGAGGTCTCCAAAACCAAGGTGGAGCCTCCATGCAGGCCAGTTCCAAAGGGGACAAGTCCTTACATCTGAAGGCCAATAACAGTCTCCTGCAGCTCAGCTGGTACTGAATCCCAGGGAAAGGCAAGCTCAAGCACAGCCCTCCATTTCCAATGAGGAAAGCAGATGTCTCCATAAAACAGCCTGCTTGAAAATAACCTTGCCTTACACTCAAATCAAATCTCTTCCCCAACATTATTGCCTGGAAACCAGCTTCATGTCACTGCCACAGCACTTGCATGTGTGCCAGAAACAGTGCTGCATCAAGCCAACCCCTTTGGGAGCATCATTATGGGGGAAAACAGTGCTGCTGACGCCTTCAGAGCATCAGGGCATGACCACATGTAATTGGGTTGCTGCAGCTCTGAGGCACTTCTGGTTACAAACAGTGAGAAGGGCATATGCTCCTCACAGTCATGGAGGATAAGTAGGACACCAAGGATGACAGCACAACTAGCAGGGCAGAAACCTCATTACCCAGAGGTAAGCTTCATACCTGAGCTGAGGGCAGTGATCAAGCCCAACCATGCGCCCAGATCAGCCGGCACACCTCTAGCAAATCTACACTCTCAAGGTCAAGCCATAAAGTAAGCATAGCAGCCAGGGCCAGTAGTAGCTAAGCAGCTCTCCAATCAATCCATAGGTTGAGGTCCATATGAGTAGCACCAGAAACAAGCATAGATATCATTAAACTGGAGAACCAACTCATAGAAAATCCCAAATTAGAGCTGAAAGCTATAAAGCTGAGCTTAAATAGGGCTGTGGGACAAAGGTTGTGGCTGAGGTGCCCAGGTGGGGCTGATCAGGATCCTGGGGCGCCCCAATTATTCCTCCTGCTCGTTGTTCAACCTTTGCAAAGGGGTTTGCCCCACTGAAGGGCTTTCAGTGGGGAGCCAGATGTTCCCAGGGCCAGGGCACAGGCTCTCACTCAGGGATGTCACTGGCATGGGTGCCGTCCCACGTGCAATGTGACAAGCACCTGAGACCTGAGCCACCCCGATGTGACGCAGAGATGGATGGAGACTTTCCTCATATCGCATGCTTCAACTTTCCGAACTGCTCCCACATTCAGCAGATGAAAGAAAATATAGCGAGGGCAGGTGGAGGGCAGGGGCTCATGTTACTGCTGCTCCAGCTTTCACCATCTCTCTTTTCTGTTTTAACCAATTCCCTGTATTTTTCACCCAGTGCTTTTATCCCCTCAGCCCTGCTTTTGTCCCTCTCCCATCCTGCCGCTCCTCAGCTTGGAATAACTGCTGTTGTCCTCCAGCAAACACACTGACAGGGTAATGAATGGCTTCAGATGGTAATTAGCGATGGAGCTGCTAATAACGCGATTCATTTCCATTTTAAGTGCTGCAGAACACTGCAAAAAAATGGACCACGGGTGGCAGGATTTGATCCCATAGCGCAGTTTTCCTCCCTGCTGCGTGAATGGTTGTTGAAATCCTTTCTTGTTATTTTCCTATGGGTTTTAGCATCTTTTGGAGGCAGTGTTTTCCCACGGAGGCTTCAATCCATTTCAACCACGCCATTGGCCCTGCCTCAGTTTCTCCCCTTGGTGCCAGGACCCCGGGATGTCCCAACAGTGGAATCCTCACTGCATTGGGGTGGCAGGAATGGGGCTGGCCGATCCATTCATTTATTCATGGATTTTGCAAGCCCTATTCGGGGTGAAAATAATCCCGGGTCCTCCAGAGGCCGATAAGATTTGGCAGCAAGGCAATACTCGGCATCTCTTTCCACTGTGCAATGATCCGGAGGCTGGGGTGGGGGGGGGGGACAGGGGACAACTGCTGCTGTTTGCGGGCAGCTTGGTGTCCTTGAGAGAAGGGACGAGGTTCTCTTTAAGGGGGCAGGACTTGGGGAGCATCACAAAGCCAGGAGAGAGCTTCTCCCTCTGCCCACCCAGGGATGGAGGCAGCAGGAGGGTGCTGGGATGGGAGGCTGAGCGAGGGGAGGAGGAGGAGGAGGAGGGGAGGGAGGGGAGAGAGAGGGGGAGGATCTGCTAATTACACAGAACAGCTCTGGGGGCTGCTGAAGTCCAGAATGAAGCAAAGAGCGGCAGAAGCAAGCGCTGCAGACGGAACAGAGGAGCCTGAGCATTGCCGAGAGCTGCAGCTGGCAGCGAGCAGGGGCACCCAGGGGATCCTACAGCTCTGGCCTGACCCGGGGACAGCCAGCACCAGGACGAGGAGAGGGAAAGGGGCTGAGGGTCCTGAGGACGTGACGGTGGAGCTGGAGCGAGACAGCGGGGGCTAGGTGTGGGGTGAGGGATGGCGGCCAAGCCCGTTGCCCAGTCTGGGATGGAGAACTTCCGAAAGGTCAGGACGTCAGAGGAGGAGAGCCCCTTGCCCTTCCCCGACTTGCCCCCAGGTGTGGTGGAGATGAAAGTGAAGGAGGGCAGCAAGATCAGGAACCTGATGAGCTTCGCCATGGCTCAGATGGAGCTGAAGGGTAGCCGGCAGATTGTCTTCAGCGGCTGCGGCAGAGCAGTCACCAAAACCATCACCTGCGTGGAGATCATGAAGAGAAAGCTGGGGGGTCTTCACCAGGTCACCAAGGTACGCTACAAAACCTTGCTAGAGGTCTGGGAGAACCGGGACCCGCTGCCCGGTGGTGCAGCACAGAATCTGACCGTCCACAAGAATGTCCCTTCCATCTGCATCCTGCTCTCCCGTGACCCCCTGGACCCCAACCAGACGGGCTACCAACCCCCTGAGCCCAGAGAGGCAGGAGAAGACCCCTCGAGCTCCTCAGCCAAGGGGCTGAAGCGGCCCCCACTGCCTGCCCATGAGGAACTGCTGCCCAAGAAGCTGCAGGTAGCAGGAGCCGGCAGCCTGCAGGGCTCGGGGACAAGAGACAGCCAGACGAATGGCCACTACTGACCCTATTTTATGCTCACAGGAGAGCCTGGGGGGCTACTGACCCCATGCAGAGCACATCCTTGTACCCCCCACTAATGAAGGGGGGCTGCGGTGTGTGGGTCTGTGGGAAAACCTCCCCTCTCCTAACTTTTCCTTCCTTTTGCCTGGTGCTGCGTGCAGTTGTAGGGATGCAGAGCCACTCATGCCTCCTGCCAGCCCTGCTAAATAGCCCCCGGCACAGCAGCTCTCCAGGACTCGCACAGAAGCATCCTTTGGATTCTCCCCAGATTGGGAAAGGCAGCTGCATGCCGCCGCTCCACATCGGGATGTCTCAGCCAGCAGCAAAGAGCCCAAAGCCCATCGGAGTAACACCTTCATTATCAAAACCACTGCAATTAACCCCAGAGAGGAGCTGTCAGGTTTATTAACGCTGGGATCCACGCCTCGTGGCTCCTGTGATTCATCCTGAATAGCACAAACAAGCAGATGGGTCCTGCTCCCTCTCACCCAGCTCCCTGCTTTGTCTCTGTCCCTTCCTTTCTGCTCTGGCATCGTTTCTATTTTGTGCTTTGCTCTGAAATACCCGAAGCTGATCTTTCCTCTTCCAGAACCGCTGCAGCCTGAGAGCCAAGGAAACAAGCCCTGGAGCACTGTCGTTCATTTCAATAGCAGCCCCCAAAGAACAGAAATGGAAATGGAAATAACTCTTCTTCCCACATCACATATTCAGGTTTTTCCTCTCCCGGAGGTGTTTGCAGCCATGGTGAAAGCATGATGACGAGGGATGGAGGCAATGGGGAGCATCAGGTGGATCATATCCAACGTGCTGGACGGATGCTGGGATGAAGGGGAGCTTTGTAGGTTTGGCTGTGGAGCATTTGCTATGGGCTGGCTCTCCAGAAAGCCCTTCGGAGCGAAACGTCTGCTTTTTCTATGGGTAAAAGGAAACAAACGGAAAATAAAAGCTCTTTAGAAATAGTTGAAGTATTTCTATGG